AAGCAACTCCATCCCACATATGAGCATATGCATGACCCACCCGCCGTTGTTTACAGCTGACCGCAATCTTTGAAAAAAGAGATCGGGAAGAAAAATCATTTATTTTATTTTATTTTTATTTAAGCACACAGCCTAGAAGCTTTTCGTAGTTGTCAAGCGAGCCTTCAGGGGAGCGATAAATCACTGTCACGTGAAGGACACGCTGCGTAGAGCGATGCCTTACAAGGTGTTTCTTTTTCCTCTGTGAAATTGGAGGCCAGGCTTGGATGAAATAACGCGCGGAAGTCGTAGCTCCTAGCGGCCTTGTCCTTCGAGAAAACGAAGAGAAGGTGACATCTCCGTTGGGGATTGGCCGGCCCGTCTCAACCTCCACAGCTCGTGATCCTCGCAAGGGCTCAGTCCTCCTCGACCCTCGAAGCGGAGCAGGACGCGAGGAACCTCCCGAACGACATGAGGCTGCAGAACGTAAGTGCTCGCGTATTTCCTCGTGCTCAGTTGAACCCGTGGTGGATTGGAACATAAGTTCGATTCTTTCTGTCGGGGTAACGGGTAACCGTCTTCTCGCTCGTATTGAAAGGATTTTGATAGAAACCAATTGGTATTAATAATTAAAAAAAAATGATTTCACGCAAACAAGCGCTGTAAGATTGAAGATAAAACAGCCCATTTCACATTTGCATCATTTCCATAGTCCTCAAATTGAGTGTTCTACTAATTCGATTTTGGGGCGAATTTTAAGTTGGATGGCAGATCTGAGGAGGGGTAGCCCCCTCCGTCAACCTACTTTTCCCTGCATTCTGAGAATTTCCATAGATTTCCATACAGGTATTTTTTTTTTCGTGGTATGCAAAAATGGGACAGTCGAAAATCTGGAGAGGAAAAGTTCAGCAGGGCCATTGCCATTTCACGAGTTGGAATCTCGGAGGCAATTTGAAATATCCATGCCAAATGATGGCTTGCCGTGGCAATTTAGCGCAAAATCCGGATTCAACCGCCACTCAGATGCGGAATGGCTTCAAGTTTCTCATAAAGAAGTTTTGATTTAAAATGTAGAATGTCCAGATTTTCTTCCTTCCCATTCGAAATCGTTTATCATTACTGGAATTAAGGGCGGATCAGGGAAATTCGACGATGTCACTTAGGCCCAGGGGATCAGCGAAGGATGGCAGGGAGGAAAGGTGGCCCATCAACAGCAACAAAAAAAATTTAAAGGAAAAGCTTGAAATTTCCGGTGCTTAAAAGTGGTTTTAGTTTGAAGACCAGTTTGTTTATTACATCCCAAAACTACGACTGCGAATCGCATGGGCTGATCGTTGGGCCCGCAGCCCGCATAGGCCTCAAATCTCGAGAACTGGAGGTCTCTGGTGGGGCATTTACCCCGAGGGGCGTGGAAGAGACCCAGCGCAGATCTGCGCCGTAGCCTTTTTGGGTGGAATGCCTTGGAATAAAGGGCTTGCTGTGTGAGAGAAGAGGGTGGCGGAGCGTGCCAGTGGCATGGGAAATCGTGGTCGTGTCAGTCAGTATTGATCAGTTGCCATTTCACGCCATGAGGTCAATAAACTTGTTTCCTTATCGTCGGACGCAGGAGTGGGACACAAAGCAAGAGAGACAGTGCCGGGAGTTATGCGGGAGCCATTCTTCGTAAGAAGGCTTAAGTCGACGTACATGACAATAGGCATACTCAATCTAATGAGATAAAAGGCCGCGCGGGAGAGTCGCGGGGGTGGGGGTGCATCAAGTAAGTTGTCGAATCGAGAATCATATGCTGTAGATGGGCTTAATCTGTGGGACCCGGCGGTTCTCCCACCTTCGAGGTGGGAAAACAACGACCACAACCCCCTGAGAGTAACGGGCCTGGCTTTCGAACGAGAGTGTCCTGTTTTTTTCCCCACCTCAATTACGCAGGTATTATACCCTTCACCCATATCAAATATGGGGTAGATGGATCAGATTTTCTAATTCTCCCCCCCCCCCAATCCTTCCAGACCTTTATCTTAGTGGATCTCCCCCAATACTGGTTGCCACAATATATGAAGTATCTTCCTAACGAGGAGTCGTTGTAACCTTGAACACGCTGGCGAACTGATAGCGGTTAACGGTGATTCCAAATCACGTCAGAGCAGTCTACAGTTATGTCTTTACTGTCTTCAGAAGGCATGAACTACCTTTCCGACATTGCGAAATCTGAGTAAACATAATTTTCAGACTGATTCGGAACGGATCTCACTATAAATAATTAAATCTGCATTTTGACCTGCAGGCGCTGTGCTGGATCCTGGCGGTGCTGATGGCGCTGTTCTCCCTCGGGGATGGCCTGAGCGACCACCCGCTGAGGACCTACAACGCCCGCGGCAAGGAGAAGGCGCAGGCGACCGGGCACCACGCAGGGAGGCTGCGCCACAGGCACCAGGGGCAGCTGAGCAGGAGGCTCATTCCGTGAGGCTGGGCGGGAGGACGCGAGGAGGTCGCACGCATGCCTTCGACGATTCGAGGCTTTCTGCACGCTTCTGTACATCGCTTCCCGGCTTACTTTCCAATAAATTGATGTTTGGTTCGATTGGATTTTTTTTTTTAACGCTGTTTAATGCCTTTTTGTGCATCGATGCTGGAGAACTTTCCCTCTACAAGCTATTCTAATGGTTGAGTTCTTCGTGAGTGTGAGAACACCACAGGCTTTGCAGCGTGCAAGCAACTCATACTCATTTCTGTAAGCATTGAGCGTTTTCCTGATTTTTATTTATCAGTTTACATGGAAGTTTTTGACGTCGCGAATAGGAGGAAGTTTCACGAATGAGCTAATTTACGATCAGATTCCCAACGACGTGCCTTCCTTGGATTCGGGTATAATATTTGGTGGCAAGGAACATAGAAGCGAATCTCATCATGTGATAGTGAGAAGGCAGAAGGCACAGATGAGGAGGCAGAAGGCACAGATGAGGAAGCAGGAGACACTGATGAGGAGGAAGCATGTTATTATTGCGTTATTGCACGAGGACTCGAGCATAATTAACGTCAACATTCTCAAGGACAGCCTCCCCCCCTTTCCAAGAGAATTCCTTCGAGTTTCCTCCCCTCAAATACAGGGAAACGACAATCCACCGACTTTCGGCGGGAAGGTTCCCAAACGCGAGGCGGCGGTTGATGAGCTGCTGGGATGCGCGAGGAAAAGCCTGTGGGAAGCACGAAGGGTCCGCTTCCCGCGGATATACACATGAATCGACCTGAAACATCGATAGTGCATCGATGCCGGCGGGGAGTGAGAGTTTCGGAGGATTCAGTTTTTCCTCACTGCGATCGGGATCGTGTTTCAGCCTCGTTTCCGCCATTTCTTGCCTCGATCGAGGCGCGGACGTCCGCCGTCCATAATCTATCGCTTGCGATTCGAGGATTTGAATGGGGGGAGGTTGTGACCTTCGCGACGGCGATGAAGCCAATCTATCGAAATTGACGTCATTTCATCGATGGATGAACTGCGATAATTTATTCCTACTGAAAAATCGGCTACCGAGCCCAAGTTCACGTGGTTTTTTTTTTCCTCGTTCGTTCTTCTTTGAACATCGGCACCGGTCGGTTCCAAGCCTGCCGATGGGCGATAGTCCACCACCGGCGGCCGATACCGGTGTTAGCCGATACATCGGTGCAACCCTACTTAAAACCAAGAAATAAGAAAGGGAGGGGGGACCTAATCGCCTCTTAAATCTGTGAGCGATTCAGGTTCTCTTGCAACTATTGGAGGAATGACATTGAAGGCTGAGCTAGAGGCTGAAGATCGCGAGTCGTAAGGAAAACGGGCGATCAGGATCACCAAGATCGAGTCAACGCGCGAGCGCAGAAGCAGAAAGACGGCCGACAGGGTCTCCGGCCATGTCCGGCCATGTTCGGCCATGTCCGGCCATGCCAGGATTGCAGAGGCGGAAACGACGATCGGAGAGGATCGCCGGGCCCCTGAACTCGGAGAAACGGGGGAAAGCTCCATGGGTTGCTCCCATGAAAAGTCTGAGAATCACCTTCCAAAGGCATATTTAAAATCTTATCACACGATCTTCATGCACTTTTTTCCGGCTGATGTAGACGTTCAGATGGAAACAAGTTTTCACAACCTTTTTGACAAGATTTCTCCTGAAAGTTCTCATAAATGTCAATATGAATCGAAAGGTCCCATCCGCATGTCAAAATTGACGCTGATGGACTGGAATGCATTCGACAAGTGATCGATGTAACGGCCTCGAAAATACTTATTCAAAAACCGATTTGTCCCCCACCGAATCGACGTGGATTCCAAATGAAGACCCACAGTTAACCCCGAATCCTGTGGGAAATGCATGTGATCCCGAAGGATCATATTCCTGTTGCCAGGTCTTTCGGGAATTTTCAGGAGTCTCATCGGCTTTAGAAAAAAAAAAAAATGTCCAGCGTCCCCATGGGCTCGTGGATTCCTGCCGTGAGACGAATTGGATTTCCTTTCGAGCATTCGCTGTGATAGGGACATTTTTCTCCCTTGCCGTGCAGGGTACCCAATTTCCATTTGGATCCCCATTTGTCGATGGTATCGGCTCGGCCTTACCGAATTCGATTAAGTTTCATATGCAGCCGGAACAACTAAAGAATAGCTTAAAGCCCAAATCGTTGGTCTCAAGGCCAAACGAGGGCTTAAAATTTGCGTTTTAAATTATCGACTGGGGAAAAAAAAATTATCCAAGAGCTTTCAGCATTTCACTTTTCCCGTGTTTTTTACTTTTAATTTTTTTTTGCACGCTCATCGAGTTGATTTTTTGGGAGGGGGGATATCGGCTTATTTTTCCCCTTAATTTCAATTTTCATGTTTATGGTATATGAACACATTTCACACGTTATTCAATTGAATGCTAAGTAAACATAAACACGACGATGAAGTCACATCCAGGTTTGCATTTTGGACATGACCGCGTTTAAGCGGAAATAATTTCAACATTCACCCGCTGTCTTGGCTACTATCACGAAGAAGCCACGAAATCAGGCTAAAAGCATTTTATTTCGACGGGAAACGAATGCAGAAAATCAGCACGAATAGCGAATCAGGAGGGCCTCACGTCCTCCCACCAAGCCTCACGGCACGATCTGCTTCTGGAGGAACCGGTGAGTCCTGTGGCGCAGCTTGGCGAAGTTGCGGACGGTCCCCAGTCCGCGAGCGCTGCCGCGGCGCTGGTAGCTCCCCATGATGTGGCCGCCTCCCGCCTCCCCGGGGAGGAGCAGCGCCGTCGTCGCCGCCAGGATCCAGATCACCGTCTGCATAGAAGGACGAGGACGGGCTGCAGTCGCCTGAGTTCTGGGTCTTCCTGGCGCCTTCACACATGCATCCTACGAACCCGCGAAAAAACTGAGGATCGATGGCTAGCTGGAACCTGGCGACTTGCGGCCGTTAGGTCTACGACCGTACTCCGTTGCACCTTATTCGATTCGCTGATTTTCTTCTACATTTGCGAATCTGCTCATCTCGTACGTTTAATACATATTAATATTTTCACCTCTCGCCCATTCTCCCTATTCTCGCTCCACTTCACACTATTGTTCGGAAGGAGGAACAGCTCGGCTGGCTCCTATGCTTCACAACTTTCTTTCTCCGAGTACCAAGTGAACGCTCTGGAAAAATGTATTGAAATTTCGCATGAGACTCACGAGATGGTCTGACTTTGGTAGTCAGCGAAATACTGTAAACATTTGAATTTTGGACTTTTCACCATGAATCGCAAACCCTTTGACGTATGATGCAAGGACGTCTTCCGATCAAAAATCAATGTCTCAGCTGAACGGAAGCGTTCATTTCGCATCTCTGAATTAAAGGGTTTGGGAGTCACGGCGACTTCAGTAAATGGCCATCTGGCGCTAGCTTCAAGAATGAACTTCAGCGAAACTGTTGGTCAGAGGACACTGGGAGGCCCCTCCTTCCACTCCTCTTAAGACCCCCTATAATAATTATAAGCCAAATTTCAAATTTCAGAATTTCGTCACCGTGGCTCAGTGGATAAGGCCCGGGCGCACGCGGGAGGTCCAGGTTCGAATCCGACCGCAGGCGGTATTCTCCTGGGTCGACAGTTCATCCGGCTGCTCTCGGGTACTACCTGCTCTCCCTTGGGCTGAAGCAAATGCCACTCTGTGCTCCATGGTGTGAGAGGTAGGGGCTTGGTGCACCTCATTAGCACCCGCCACATCGGCCCTGGCGGCCCGATGTGCAGCGATGGAGGGCCTATGGCCGGCATCGAAGATGCCACCACCTTCCCCGGGCCCGTGAAAACGGGATACGTCACGACAGGAAGCGTGGGAAGGTGGGGCCATGTCGTCAGGGATGTCCGATATAGAATTCCCTTTCCTCTACTCGGTGTCGCCGCTTGTGGCATTTGTCCTTGTCTGTGTATGTCCGTCCCAGTCCACGTTTAAAAAAAAAAAATTCAGACACTCGATTTTTGAGTTCCTTCCTGCCTTAAAAGTGCATGCCACCAGCACCCACGTTCTTTCTCTGTGTTGGGCACAATAAGTCTAATTTGTGAAGCGGTGGGTCCTATGGCTCGAGTCGCATGAGAACAACCTGTGACGAATGGAACGGGACAGAAGAATCCCATCCCTATCTCATCCGGCCATCCCTCGGACTGCGCTGGGCCCCCCGAACACTGGCAGCAAAATTCCTCGTTCATCGGTCTTATAAGGTCTTTGCATGGTGGCCATTCCTCGCTGACCGCTCGGCCATAGTTCCACAGCAGCGGATCGAACCGACACTTAACCCATTCTTCGTACCTTATCTGAAAGTATCTCTTTGGAAAATTAATCACACAAAAAAGAAACTATAACGTGCGTTATTGTGACCCATTTTTAAGAATCAAAATTTGCACAAATGCCTAGAAACAATCTAAGTGAAGAAGAATGCGAACCGACCATAATGATAAGTAAATTCGTTTCGTTCAATTTAATTCGTCGAAAGAAAAGGAAAGAAATCAAAATCGGTCCATTTTCTACTCCACTTTCGTCTTTGAACATTAGAAACGAAATTTCTGCATTTCAAGCCAGCATTCCCTGATGAAAAGCTTCAAGCCACTCAGCACTGAGTCGCAGATAATTTTTTTTTCCCCAGATTACGATGTCATGTTATAAATTTGATTGAATTTTTCAAATTTCAGAATGCAAAATTTCAAGAACTCGTCCTGCATAATTCCCTGTCACAAGGTAATAAACCCAAAAATAGCGTAGATGATAATCTCACGATATACTTCGAATTCATATTCATAATGAGAAAAAAATTGTTTTGGTGAAGAGGAATTACGTTTCCTGATAACTTTCGACCCAAACACCATGAACGCTAAGAAAAATTCCCTTCACTTAACACGAACTTGACAGTGAGAATCCAGTCCAATATCAAGAAAGGCTTTCTGTATGACGATGCTTCTGCGAGGTACTGTCATGGATCGTTAGATGAATCTGAGCAGTACATGTGCTACTTCACTCCGAGATCAAACTCGTACGGCGTTGAAAATACAGCTTAGGACACAGGCTTTAGGCTGAGTTTAACCAGCAAACGGCTTCAAGAGAGCGCACCCTTACGTCGTCGAAACTCAAAAAAATTCGAAAAGGACGATGGATGGGATGTCTCCAAGGTCAACGAGAATACGAGACGGAACAAAATTCCGATCGAAGGAACTCGACTGGGCTTTCCATTCACCACGGGTTCACTGATAGAGGAAATACACGAGCACTTACGTTCTGCAGCTTCATGTCGTCCAGAAGTCCCTCGCGCCCTGCTCCGCTTCGAAGATCGAGGAGGACTGAGACTTAGCGAGGATCGCGAGCTGCATTAGTAGAGGTTGAGACGGGACCGGCCGATTCCCCAGCCAAGAGGATGCTACCTGATGGGGCCTCTCCTATTACGTTCCAGTCTCTTGAAGGCCAAGGACGCTACGTGCTCTGACAGGTTCTTTTACCGGTCGGTCATCCTTCCCTTGCATGACAATTTTTTTTCCTAACATCACCCTACGCATCGTGTCCGCGATATGACCGAACGAAGTCAAGGGCAGCAAAAAATGTTTCTATCTGTTCCCCAACAGTTGAGCACCTTCACGTCTCGCTTCAGCTACTTCGTGCTCCTGGATGTGTTTTGGACGCACCATTCAGGTTTACTTTTTTGTGTTTTTAAAGGTTAAGGATAATGAATCACCCAAAGTTCCAATGAAGCATATCGAATGAGCTCCTACATCTGACGATCTCTGCGTGTGCATCACCAGAATTATTCTCGATCGTGAATACACGAAAAATAGGAGCTTCCCATGGTACGCGTTATTGTCCGAGAATGCTGTATCGTTCGTGTTTCTGCACGAAGTGGCCTGGAATGAAGCATGGACTTCACGTCAACCGTTGAACCAAGTGTGAAGGTCACTCCACGAGGGAAGGACGAGGCATTATGGGGACGGCGGACGTGCGACGGAAACCAAAACTAATCCCGCTGGCACACAACAAATTAATTCGAAGGACATACGTATGCACTTAAATTTCGCAGCCTCGCGTCGCTAAAGAAATTTCTTGCGTCCTATTTCGACTGGGACGGATACGAGAGCTAAGACCTTGGACGATGGATGCAAGCCGTCTTAGAAGGGGGGAGCAGAAAGACTGGCCGATCCTCCACTGGCCTCCACGGAGGAACTTTATCACGGGGTTCTTCCACTGCCCCCCCCCCCCCCTCCCCCTTCCTCCATTCACTAACAAAGATTCGCTATTAGATTTCTCGGTTGAATTGCATGTATTCTGTCACCTGGTGCGAGTCACCCGGTTTCAACGTGAAGTACCGAGATTCGACCAAAAATAAATATTCATTCCCGGAACCTCTCTTGTCGATGCAAGTCAGATATTCATGTCAGGCAATGTATCCATTGCAAAGAAACTGATCTTCGAAGCCTCGGAACCCTTGCCGTGCGTTACGCGTCTTTTGTCAGGTTCAGCAGGGCAAAACCCTTCTATACCTTTATCAAGGCGTGGAGACAGGCACAGAGGGAATGAATGACATTTGACAGTATACATAGGAATCATGAAATAATGTGAAAATCATTTTCCAAAAGCTTTCCCTTTCTTCAACCCCCCCCCCTCTCCTTCTTTACGGGAATCACAAACTTTATGCCTAGACCAAACCGACGGTTTGCCTTCAGATCACGCGAAGGCCTACCTTCTTTAAAAAGAAACTCAATTATCGACTTACAATTAGGCCAAGAGTGAATCTTTGGTCTTCCAGATATCTCGTTGAGGACGCGTTAAGGTAAACAGACTAAAAGACTGTTTAGTTTCATTCACACTTTCAGCGCGGACGTGGAAAGTTCGGCCCGTCTGGAGGCGGGAATGCTGCCAGGAAGCATTAAATCCATGGTGGATGCCATTCATTCAAGGATGTCCGGATGAGAGATCTCCATATCCCACGACACAGGTCGGCCGCTGCTAACCACAGTTTCAATCTCAGTTCGGCTCATTTCATCACGTGAGTAGTCAATGAGAGGGTGCTCTTTCGGTGTGACGATGCGGCTGCGATGAATCGCGAAATGAATCCTGAACGGCACCTGTGCTACTTTACTGCAAGGTCGAACTCGTACGGCGTTGAAAAGGCAGTTTAGGGCACTTCGGTTTTAAGTTAGCTGGGTTTCATCATCGTCAAACTTGCCATTCACCACGGGTTCGCCGAGTCATGAGGAAGTGCGCGAGCACTTACCTTCCGCAGCTTCATGTCGTCCAAAAGTTTCTCGCGTCCTGCTCCGCTTCGAGGATGAGAACTGAGCCTTTGTGAGGGTCGCGTGCTGCATGGAGGATGAGACGGGACCGGCCGACCCCAGCCGAGAAGGTGCTAATGGGCTATTGTGTTTCGTGAAGGTCAAGGACACTATGTCAGCTTCTTCTTTCAGAGGCTGGTCATCCTTCACTTTCTAGCATGTAGTATTTTAAAGACATCATTCTGCGCATCGTGTCCGCGACGTGACCACAAGAAGTCACGCTCAATAAAAAAAAAGTCCGGTCTCCACCTGTTCCCCCACGGTTTCTTCCCGCCTTACTTCAGGTTCTTTGCGTTTCTCGTTCCACCCGAGCCGCTCGTCTACTGTCGTCGGGTAATAAAGACAGGCGCAATGAATCGCTAAGTGTTCCACTGAAGCATATTGAAATAACATAACATAACGATCTATGAATTTGCATGTCCAGAAATTCTCCTGACTGAAAAATTTGAGCTTACCACCACAAAACGTTCATTAGCATCCGCCTGTTTGAACAAGGCGACGGACAGCATGCGGATTTAGATCCAGGTGTCCCACCTGGTGGAAATCCACCTGGTCATTCGCTCACG